CAAATTCTGTAGTGAGTATAATTGACTTGGTTTTACGATTTCTAGAGAATATATGCACAGTAAAATAACTTATATAGATCCCCCCCCCCCAAAAAAAAAAAAAATCGAAGCAGTTTTGAATACCTCTGGTAATATTCCTCACATGTCAATGTCAATGGCTATATAGGATCTCCCATGATTTGTAGTTGGATATGATTTTTATCCAACGAGTTGTGTGTTTTTATCCCCGAGCCTTGACGAGATTCTTTTTATCCCATGTTTTATACATCACTATCAACATGATCAATATTTTACACAGTTTTTATATAGGAATCCACTTCATTTTACTTCATCACTCTCACGCAAAACCCATTGTGACGTTACAGCAGTGGGATATGAAAAAAAAAAAACATCCAATGAGTGATAAAAGGGTAAACATGGATAATATACAATTATGGACTCTTTCGGTGGTGAATATGGTTTGTTATTCACCAGAAAGATATCAATATTGACTGAGGCGAAGCCGAGGTCAATATTGATATTTTTCTGGTGAATAACAAACCATATTCACCACCGAAAGAGACCATTATTGTTTTCTTATATAGTCAGGATTTGAATAAACAAGACATTGAACGATGCATGGCTAAACCGTTTTCAGTAACGATCCTCTGTCGTAGAAAAATAAAAAAAAAAATGCCCAGATTACAATTTATAACTTCCGACTGTTTTCCTTTTGCTGTGTGTAAAACATCGAAATGTTTGGAAAATAATCCTGCGATAGACTTGCCTAACATTTTTCCTGTTCAGATACACGGCTGGCTCCGGCCGTTGCAACCATTGTTTTCAACGTTGTTTGAGGTATTGATTGTGACGTCACAATACCGCTGCACGTGCACTCACCTTCCGATGAATACGGCCTCAAATCCAGTGAATATGTAGTGTTATGAACTGTTTGCGTTTGTATAGATTATATAGGGACTATAGATAGACTATATAATAAAATATGATATTATGATAACAGAATTTCAATCCCTGTTGTTTTCTTGAAATTATACAAGTCACACAGTCTCCCAGACTACCATACATTCAATACTGTGTATCTTACTCTTAAATATGAGAATACAGACATTGAAACCGAGTCTAATCAGCAAGTTATCTATCAATTAAAGGTTATTGCATGACAGGAATCAATCAACACCTTACACAATTAAAGTAACAAGAACTTTTTCAATACTGCAAATTGCTTAAAAACCTACCGCACCTGTGGCCACCGGCGGCGAAATATTGAACAGCGGAAAGACCTCGCATAACAATCACCTGGTGAGGTGAGATATCACACTTGTCTTTTGCTTTCATTCTTGAACTGTCCATCTAAATGCCTTATCACTTTGTTGCCCATAATTTTATTTATATTGCATTCTTCTTGACTTTTTTGCAGCATACTGTTTATATAAAGTACGTATATGAGGGAAAGAATGCTTACTCGCCTACAGTTGCCCTTAAAATTTAGAAAGACCAGTCATACAAATATCTTAATATAAATTCATTGAAGAATATGATTTATATATCCACATTAGCATAATGAAGATATCTGTTCATTGTTGTGGCTTGTACTGATGCTCTTTGGTTTCTATGGTATCTACCCTCACACATTGTTAACAGATTTCACACATCTGCAATACATACTAAAATCTGATTCTTGTAACAAAAAAAGTCATCTTCCAGCTGATTTTGCAAAAGATTTAAAGTGAAAAATACCTGTTCTTGAACATTTTTTTTTATAATAAACTGGACTCCCTCTTCAGATCAAGTTTAAACAAAGAAAAAAAATCACAGAACACATAATGCTGGGAAGTATGTTATCCGAGAAGAACTTTAGTATAAATAAGTTTTGAATGCTTATTATTTGTAAAATTTTACGAAAAAGGAACCTAAAATAAGATATCGTTTATAGTTTTCCATGTTTTTTTTTTAATTGTATATATTCCAAACTTTATTCATCTTATGCAACTTCACAGATTTTGTTGATTGATTGATTGTATGTTGTTTTGCGTCCCGTTCGAGAATTTTTTCACTCATATAGAGATGTCACCATATACCGGTGAAGGGCTTCAAATTTAGACCTTTACTCGGCACACAGGACCATTGAGCAGTGAGGGATCTTTATCGTGCCAACACCTACCGTGACACGGGGCCTCGGTTTTTAAGGTCTCATCCGAAGGACCCGCAACTTTCACTTCAAAGTACCTTGCGCTTGGCGAAGGAACAGTTGCTACCTATATTTTATCGGCTTATTTCATTCGCGGCTGTGATTCGAACACACGACCTTCCGATCACGGAGCGAGCGATCTACCGACTGAGCTACCGTGACGGTTTTTGTTGATTGAAAAGAACAGTAGAATAAAAGGAAATATAAGAAAGATTTTTAAACTAAGATTTCGGTTCAAAAGTGTATCTGTCTAAAATTTGTGTTTTGTTGAAATGCTCAGTGTCGGAATTCTCACATTGATAACAGGAGGAAAACTCTTTAAAGTGTATCTAATGTGTATGGATATTTATAAAGGTCATAACTATGTTCTTTATGTTAAGTAGCTATATCGGACAGTTAACCACCAGATAGAACAGTTATTGATAACGACACTAACAGTTGTTTTTTTAAACACATACTTTGTATTGTATACGCATGCATATGAAAGATCAGTAATATTCCTATATGACACATTTCAAATGTCAAAGTTATCTTCATGTAAAAGTTTACAATACAGTTCATTTGCATATACATGAATAAGTATCGATATGAATTGAGTATTTCATTGGGAAGTTATAGTTGTTTTTTTTTATATAGATAATCTAATGTAATATATATTTAAAACAAATGTGAGTACACATGACCTGTAAATTCTTGACCATAAATCAAGATTCATCTCCATTTAGTTTTGAATTGAAATACTCGTCGCTTGTCATGGGTCTTTATTGCCTTTTGCAATGAAATATTGCAGGTGTTTCAATAAAAAGAAATCCTTACCCTGTTTATGATTTAAGTATATAACAGAACATCATACCAACACACAAAAGCAACTTTCTTGTTCTAAACCCTGTAAGATTGTCTCTTACAGGAATTTCAATTCTTCTCAACAAAATATCTACATACTAAATCCTGCATGATATTAAGAGATTAGAAAGAAATTGAGAGGAAAAATTCAGGGCGTTGAAACAATAAATCCCAGAGACAACAAAGGTTTTGAAAGAGCGAGTTGAAGTGTTTACTCTTCCCTCTCCTAGAGATAACAAGTCCATTCATACTTTCATTCTGCGACAATTCCAGTGACGATAAGTAAAATATTCTCACTTTTTATCCCTCAGGATTATGTCTTTTGTATACTGGACTATAAGCCGTACTATCAGTTGAAGTGTTCTCATCACAGAATGGCCATTAACCTATAAATTAAGCTTTAATCTGAGGATCCTTGAATGAGGTTATCGTGATGAACAACATGGCAAGTCAACTGAATTATTTAAATGCAATTGTGTAGAAAATTGGTACCCACTACTTTACAGGTTTTTGGTTACTGCAATGTTACTTTCAAAGTGCGTGTGTATATACATTTGATTCTTTATTTGCTCTCAGACGTACTAAAATATGGGAGTCGGAAACACGAGAAACCATTTATTAATTCATTTAGTTCTTTTATACATAATTAACTCAAAAAATAAACAATTGAAATTTTTCAAAAACAATTTAATATCAAAATAAATGAAAACTCAATTCTTTCAATTCTTCATTTGTTAAATTACATATCAATCTATCTCTGCAATAAGATTTTAAATTCCGCTTACTTAGTACTATAAATGTAGTCCAACTTCTTGATTTTCATTGGATTGTCAACGATTGAAAATTTTGGGCTTCCCTCTACCAACTCGCCTTCTTTGAAATAACATTAACTAGGGTCCTTTGCAGTATTTTAGCAATGCAGATAACATTCCTTGGTTAATTTTGAAAGACTCTTTAATACGCCGGTGGAAACATCTGATTTAGTAGGCATACATTAATCAAGTGATCATGTCAGGGTGATGAAGAAGACATATGTTTATCTTTATAAGCGCAGTATCAGAAAAATAAAATGATTTTCTCCCTTTTAACACATAGAACTTTATTACAATTATATACTCTTTTAAGTAAAGTGTAATTATAGTAAATGTGCTGGCTTTAAAATACAAGTATAATTATCAAACACTCAGGACACATGTTCGTCTGATTAAATTAAGAAGAGTATGTTGACTTCTTAAAATTTTCATTCAAAGACGATCTTAAGTCGTTCATTTTTATTCTCATTTCCGACTTCCTCATTGATGGAATTGCAGAAGTAATTTTTAAATTGAAGCTTCAAAAATTCCAAGTCTAGTGCTTGGTTGAATCACCAAATCTTTCTTTTATGTTTGACAAGCACTATCATCCAGCAGATCTTCACTGAATATAACGATGGACCTCTGCTTTTTTCTAAGAAAGCTATTTTCATTATATATTTTTAATAATGGATATTGTGAATATAGAACTATATAATATACCGGTATTGACCGTTTTTATTTGTGTCTTAGATGACATATTCCAGAAACTGTATTTCTGAAAAATAGTTTAACAAAGGAATGAAAGAGCTCTCTCACATATTCACATTTCTTCTAACAATTTTGCATCATTTATAAATGTACATTATATGATAATACAAAAATGAATCATTCACCACTATTCTATTTTACCAACATAATGCATGTGATAACTCCATAATGCAAAGGAATCTTTCAATTGTACAATTTTTCTAAATCATGAAATATATAACAATTATAAAAATACATTAAAGTACTACAGAGCAATTTTACATGGCCTAAGGAATTTTTTTTTCAATTTCGAGTTTCCTTTTTTTTAAGTCAGTAAAAAGTTTGAAATGAAAAAAATAATAAAAAGAATTATCTTTCATTATAAAAAAAAATTAAAATGTATCATTTTATCTTTCAGGAAAATAAACATAATGAAAAAATACATGAACAGAAACCAAATTCGGCATATAGATATAGACAAAATCTTATTCATATCAAAGAAAATTGAACAGAATAGCACTTGTTTTGATTAGCACTCGTAAGGATGAAAATACAAGAAAGGCAGTGCACTTCAGAAATGAAAAATTCTTATAATCTAAAAATCAAAACAATGGTAATTGCTCTAAATAGCACATTGCATTCACCTTTGGTTCTCTTACTGAAAAACTCCGAGGTACAAAACAATACGGATTAACCTTGCCACAACTCAAGAAGCGTGCAAATATTCCCAAAACTAATTGTGAGGTGCAGCCTTCCCTTTCATGTACCCTTTCCATCTTTCAAGAGTATTATAAAAGAGTGGATCATTGTCTAATTCAACAAGTATATAAAGTTGTTTGATATGAACCTTATGATAGTCCCATCGAGCACGATTTGGTGAAAGCCCTGATGTAATATGTCGAAGGTCATAAAACGTCCCTGTTCCAGAATCAAACACAAGCAGCATCGCTTTCAACGTCCTCATCCCTTTTTCAAACAGCTCAGCTGCTTTTTCTCTAATGCTACCTGTTGCCATTTCTTTAAGGTCATATAGACCAAGTAAAGAGTAAATAAATCCATTGAGCACAAAACTACTGGGTGTAGTTGGGTATTCTTCATACCAGTCATATGTGTTGAGGAACTTTGCTAAAACTCCACCCTCGGAGCTTGGAATGTCAAAAATATCAATTGCTCTACCCGCTGCCTCTAAGTAAGTCCTATCTTTAGAGGCTACATATGCACGTACAAGAAGAGAAATTGCCTGTCCTTGACCCATGGCAGAATACCATCCTGGCTCCAGTTCCATGACTTCTGGAATTAGTTTACGTGTCACTTTCACTGGCCACCCACCCTTGGAATCTTGATGCCATACAAAATAATTTGCAGCATCAAAAAACAAATCCTTATGAGCATGACTGCGAAGGGTCACATTGTCCATTATACCATGACCACGAACACATATAGCTGCAATGTGGGCTGAACTTTTTACTTTGTTACTTCGATTTTTTGAAAATCGTAATGTTAATCCTTTTTGAAAATCTACCATTACTTGTCTCGTTAAGTGAATCCATTTTCCTTTTTTGTGCGACCCAATTCCATAATAGAGATCTTTGCCATCTAATTTTATTATGTTATCACTAAGCACATAATGAATACGGAACAAATTTCCATCTCCTGTCTGAATTAAAACTGTTACACTTCCATTATTTATAAACATAATATCCATGGATAAAGTCGTCAGTCTCTTTTCTTTTGTGGATCTACAGATTCCAGAATTTTTCTGGTTTGCTGGAAAGATATACAGATCTGAATTTAATTTAGTTGTTCAATATGATACGAGTAAAGAAAGCTACCAACTGCAAATATTTAGTTCCAACTAAAAAACCATCCATTACCATAATGAAATAATTAAGAAGATCAGAACAACCGTATTCTTACTTGCTGTTTGAAATTCCACCACTCCATTATCAAATGAAGTTCTGTCGTCCATCTTGCTGCGGATTTCGGATTTACGATCTGGAAGCAGCCAATCAGGGAGATCAGTTTCCTCTCCATCTTCCAGAACTATTATTTTGGATCGAGGCTGTGTCAAATGTTTACTGTAATGACTTAAGCCGTATTGGGCTATCTGTATGGGATAATAGTGTCCTTTGCGCTCCCACTGTGTGGATATTGGGACACCTAAAATTATTCATTGTTACATCTAACTTGCGCTGTTCTAGCTAGTTGAAGATATTATACTATTCACTCAATTGTTTTTGGCAGGATTGCCAAAAGCTTTCAAATTTCATGTATTTTGAAAAAAAAGTCTTTAAGATTAGATAATAGAAAGTGGAAATGATTGATGATATCTACCTTCAATGCCAGATACACATTTAACCCTATTTCTGTCTTCCACACTGTATTGATCAAAGGACATGAAGACACCACTGGGTTGGTACTTTGGTTGAGGACCAGTAGGAAATGTATCCTGGTAACTGTGGTGGAATGAAAACCTTTCGTATCCATCTGATGTCTCAAGGGTGCCATACACCTACAATTATGATTATAATTGTTAAAGCTACACGTAATTTTAAATAAAATTGTCTGTCACTTAGCTTTTTCAATTCAAGAAAGTTCAATTATTTTTATTTATTTTCAAAAGGCACTTTCGTGTCATACTTCAAAATATTTCTGGATGAAAGAAAATGGCATGTAAACATCTTTCCCCTCTTTTCTCCCTATTATGGAGTAGTCTCCATTGATGACACACTCAAGTTCTTCATATTTGATTGGTTTGGTCCTCTTCACGTGATTGTAGGCCTGGGCTACCCTGGGCTGAAACCCCACTGAGGCTTCAAACTCATTGTTGATGTGTGATGACACTTCTTCCCTTAAAAAGGAAGTCATGATAAGCAAAGGAGGTTTGTTTCTGAATCTCTGGTCAAGTAGAATAACATAAAATAGCAGAGAGAGAGAGAGAAATCTAATAAAATTGATATATGAAGTGCTTCATCATTAAGATTCATATCATTTTATTGTGCTCAGTATGGGTTAAAAATTTCAATGAATTGAAAGATGTTTATTTACCTTAAAATTCTATCATTATCTACTGTAAGATCACATTTTCCAATATTATATATAGTCAACAGGAGAGGAAAGATGCCCACGCATAGTATTAGAACCTTCAGTTCACTGCGGGTCATAAGTCTGGCAAAACCTGAAAATGATGAATAAAAATATGTATGTTGTAAGAAAGTTTAAAGCTGCAAGGAGCTTCGTTAGTTAATTTAGCAATGGTGAAATTGCTCTGTAATCTATGAAAAAGATCCCATGGGTTTGCTACTACAAAGTATATAAGACTGGAGCTGTCTTAATCAACGGAGAAAAAATCAAAGAAGAGTTAACATGCCACAAGATATACATGGTCTTTAAATTTGTCAATTGCTGTTAAAATTGAGATGTGCAAACACTTGTAGACAGATAGGGGTGCAGTACAAGCACCGAACAACAGACACCTGGAGCCTAATGGTAAATAAATACAGAATTCAAAAGTAAGTGCGATTTCTAATAAAGTCGGCAGAATAATGATTTTAGCGATCTTCAGAAATAACCACGTTTCATTAAATGTACTTATTCTACTTTCTCTTGTGTGAGATCCCAAAGTACATAGTTTTTACAAAATTTTTGCTGTCAAATTTGCATTTTATATACAAGCTACGATGAAAGTTGTCAATAAAAAATTAGCTCAGAGTAACTCTTTTTAAAAGAAATTTTAAGTGTAGAAAGTCAATCGAAAGAAAGACCACATACATTTGTCGAGAGGTCAATCATTATAGATTGTCCATTATGGAGATGTACGTCATTAGTAACAACATTTACCTGAAAGTCCGTGTCATCAAAGCGAGCACCTGTGGCTATCTGAATCAATTAGAGGACAGCCAGTCTTTATCAATCATCTCTCTTACCTGCACAAAAGAATGTTTGAACGTTACATTATACATGTATTTTCTTTGAATTTTGAATTTCGTAAATTTGTTCCTCCAATATTTCAAATAGCACGGATAAAAATCTGACATTTATATTTGTCATCGCTTGAGAAAATAGCGAAAACTTTCAAGTGCATGATGGATATTTTTAAATTTTTGAAAGAAGTACATTTGAGGGAAAAATAATCTGCAAATGGTATAAAAATGCAGAGACACGGGTGAATTTTTCAAGCATATTTAAATTAGGTCATTTGAATGCTCTTTGTATTACCTTTGTGATATACGACGCAAATAATTAGGGAAAAACCGAGGGCATAAAATTGGATGTAATTACACAGACATATTATTTGTCTCAAATCGTGTGCAGCAGCACGAGAGCACACAACCTAGAATTTCACGAAAGAGTGGTTTTCTGAATGTTCCTCAAGCAGGATATTATCTAATCAAACGAAAATAAACTTTTTAAGTGAGAATTAAATTCATCAACAGAATATTTCAAGCAATTAGTATGGCAAGTACACTGTCGATACCTTGTCTACCAGGTCTTTTAAATGTATCTAGCGAGTCCTCTCTGATAGTGTTTAAAAGTCACGCTTAAAATTTCCCCTAAAAACAAAGGGTGCGGAAAATACCAGACCGCTAGAAACTACTGATTCAGTGGAATAACCTCTGATGTTTTGGGCTGTTTGATCGTATTGAAGTAACAATTATTCGCACAATTTTAGATAAAGCTAACTGTGTACATTGGAAAGATTTCATTTTCTCTAAATTTTGAAAGATAAATAAAAAATGTATATTAAATTAATCATTCTTTTTTAAATTGATATTGTATTCAAACATTTTTACCAAGATATCTAGGAAGTGTTGCAAAAGCGTGTCCAAAAGCAAGATTAAAAAGAAAACTTATTACTCACTTCCAGATATGCAATCCTTTGAAAGAAAAATCCGGAAAAAGTAATATCTCTAACATGCGTTCCAAACTTATTGAAAAACTATTCTGTGAAAATCCCCCAATAAGCTGGCTTCTAATGTCACCTCTGTTAATGTGCTGATCATACAGAGAATCACATGTCAATGTAAATGCTGTGAAAATAAAAAAGTTTCTGAATGGAGTTAAATCCTTTCCTAATCCTAGGTGTAATAATCCCCTCCGAGTTACTCCGTCCGTTTATATAGCCCCAGAGCCACTGTCAAATTTACGTTTAAATATGATGTAAAGCGAGTATGCTAATAGAAGTCCCAACGTGAGAGATTATCCGCTCAGATTTCAGTTCATATCCGCTCCCTTTTCTTTAGTTTTTTGGATGGATGCGGGAACAAAGACTCTGGACCCTGTATGGCCTCTAATTGACACAGATCTCTTGTAATCAGTTATCGCCTTTTGTCTCCTTTCGTGATCTACCTATACCTTTATCTCAGAAAATGGGGGCAGTTTAGATAATTGTTTGTTTAAATGTTGTATATCGGTTGTGTCAGTGTTACTTATTAAAGCATTTAAACCCATTCAACACCTTTCATCTCTCTCGGTGTTTACAGTTAGATGCTTGTCTTATATATTCTTAACTTAAAATTATAGTTAAAAAAAGGAAAAAAATGCCAAGTTAAGATGCATTCATTTTTTAAAACTATAGCTTAGGACCCGAGTTACTTTACTTTAACTTTAAAAATTCCTTTTAGACTGTCGTTATCTCTTTCTTTCTAACAATGGAATATTTTCTTTTGACAAGGCGTTATGCTCTTTGCAAATGGCATCAAGTATTTCCTCTTAAAATATTTTCGTATGTGTATGCACTTTGCTAAATTCTGCCGTTAACTTTGTTCAAGACAAACAAAATTGATCCAGAATCTCTTGCACGATAAAAATGCAGCGTCTAATTTCAAGATCTGAAACACAATCGATTTTTAATATTCATTATTTATCCTTATAATATCTTCAAATGTTTGAACAATTCTGATTTCGATGATTAAATTAGAATTAATTTATGAAAGAATTGTGTCTTTTAAAAAAGACATTTTGATTTAAGAAACTCTAGGTATATTATTTGTATGTTGTGTCGGGTTTTCCTGGCTTTTGTCATCAATATGCAATAAATTCGCAAATGACGCGACAGCTGATTACATTCAGTGTGCAGTAAGACAAATGATATACTTAAATGTTTGACATTCTAATCATTGTTCAACCTTTATTACTCTATAATGAATAAACTATGTCAATATTTGAGTAATGAATAAAGGAATAAAAGTTCTTAGGTGGCAAAGGTTGGAATCTTACTACACCTCAATGAAAGGCATACCCGAGATAAACAAAATATTCAATAGAAGAATTTCACTGGCACTATTTGTTTAATTTTGCTTAATACAGGGAAATATTTGATCATTTTAAATTTATAAATAACCTTCAGTTATCTTTTAAAACCACACGCTTGCATTCATGTAATTAGATATCATAGAGTAATTAAAAATGTAACCCGGAATGCTAGCAGCATTTGAATTTTAAACACTTCAGACAGTTGAGTTATGGTTTACATGTTTGAATTTCTAACTGATTTATCAATGAACTTATAAGCACGTATCTAACGTTAGCAAGAGTGACCATAATAGTCCTGTATGTATACACAAGGAATTTAGAAACCTGTCTTCTACATACCTAGACAGCTTAAACAATGTTTCTTATCTAAATAGGTATTTTACGTTCCATTATAACACTTTAAAACATTCCTTTATTATTGGTAGATTTTGGAAACACACTCAATCGCAAACACATACACGGGAACATTAAGATGTTTCACTGCGGAGACTTTTTCCCTACAGGTGAATCGCAGCACAAAACCAAGTTTTTCCTATCAAAATATACTAAACAAACAGCATCGATAATCACCAGTCTTCCTTTGAATGATACTTATACAGTATAAGATTACTTCAAACAACTGAGCGAGAGAGACAGATTTTTTACACATTTGTAGACGAGACCACAAACTTACCCCAAGCAACCAGATTAATCATCGTCTTAAAATCAACAGGATACACATTATAGGTTAGTGTTTATTTACTCTCGGTAGAGTTCAACGACTACTATTTTTTTTTTTTAATTAAGTTTATGTAGTACTATGGTGACAATATACTAGGAAGATACAGAAGTATTAATTTAAAGAAATAATTAAGAACAAACAACGCAGCCTCAGAAATCTATCAAATATTCCCCATTAATTTGAAACTTGAGTATACATATCAGACTTATGTAATTTAGTGAGGCATTGGTATCTTTTTCTGACTGTAAATAAAAAATGACTACCGTAGTTGTTATTCGCACCAGGACACGCATTCTCCTTGAAATGTCAATGCAATCTACTTTTTGTGAATACGTGTTGGCAGCAGTAGGGAAGAAAACGTTAAGTCTTCTCAACCTTGGTGACGGTCGCCCGCGTGGCGCAGTGGTTAGAGCGTTTGCTCTAGAGTTGCGGAGTAAGGAGTTGATCCTTACGTCGCGAGTTCGAATCCCACTGTTGGACGTGGAGACCGGTCCTTCGGATGAGACCGTATAAACCGAGGTCCTGTGTCGCATTAGTGCTGGCACGAAAAAGATCCCTCATTGATCAATGGCTCTGAGTGCCGAGTATAGGTCAAAATTTGCAGCTCTCAATCGGCCATCTTCGCTAGCCAAGGGTTTCTGATACGCTACTCTCCTCATAAACCCTTGGCATACGGTGCTGACGAAAGACGGGATTGTTTTCGTCACGTGATCACGATTCTTACCAAATACACTTTTTATTTCTGTCGATGACGCAATCTGTGCGTACCTAAAAAAATAATGTTTTTAACGAATAATTAACAAGAAGGTAATTAATTATGTTAATTTGTTATTTAAACATGTTAAAATGCAAATCTACATCTTCAGTATGGATTCTTAATCACATATTTTACACGTAGATTAAGATATTGGATGACTATTCATAGAATGACATGTTATCTTACGGATCATTGTTTACTTGCGTTTTTCATTCCCGATATTAAAGAGTCAAGATATATCCCGAACGCAAATATCGTCATTTACAAAAAACAATTGCTGATTGGTCGAACGATGTCGATCAACTCCAATCACAACTTGAGAAAAAAATCCCAACTTTTTTTAACACCGTATGCCAAGAGCTTATGAGGAGAGTAGCGTATCAGAAACCCTTGGCTAGCGAAGATGTCAACCGGCAAGTGGTGGCGTTTCCATATGAGTGAAAATTCTCGAGAGGGACGTTAAACAACAAACAAACGAAACCTAAGTGACGGTTCCAAGGAGAAATACATAAAAAGGTAATGACACGCAAATGACATTATTTCTTATTATTTAAAATAATGTTTCATGTTTTAAGGTTTCATATATAAAAAATGTTTTACTTAGATTTTTTTTAATCCTCAGACATCGGACGAAACCGACATGGAGAAGTCAAAATTATTTTGTTCACCTAGAGAAGTGAATGGAGTATGATACTTAGGTGATAATAATCTTATCATCGTTTTAAGAACATGTCTCTATTTGTGCATGTTAACCCACAAAGTTAGTACAAACAGATAAATTACAGGTAAATGAAATCATACAATCGTTTAAACAATAGATATGCGACCAAAACTAGAAGGACTTGTATTTTGGGTGAATTTAAGCACAAAGCAAATATTTGCTACTTATTATGACAATATGCAGATAACTATTTGAAGTATCTGTGCACATTTTATATATAATTTTTCCCAAGAATTTGTCATTAGAACTAAAATAGGTTCTATTGCACGATTTGTATGTGAGTAGGTTGACCCCATAATTTTATACATGTACTTAATTATCCTGGTATTGCAGAAACTTTAAAACCTGTTAAACCTTTTATCACATCTCTGCTAATTGGTTAGAAAATTTGATTAAGAGAGACAGATGGATTTACTATAGGATAAATATGACTCAGCCATTTTTTAAAGAATTGAAATACGTGTGTGAATACACACGTACGTTACTTTGGACAATTTTTGTCTGATTTATAAAGAATAAATAAATACGATTTGTCAAACTAATATAACTCCTTCTAGACAAGAATGTCTTGTACATTTCCACGGTTAAGCCCATTAGTAAAAGTTTATTTATCACCTTAAGCTTCTTGATAAACATCAAAGGGTAATTCCTCCCTGACCTGTTTACGGCCCTCAGTAGCCGACAATGTTTGGGTACAGATAGTGACAAAGCTATGATACGGCTTACATCCTTTGATAAATCTAATCACAAAGCTATTGAATGCCTTACAAATTCAATATTCCCAATACATAATGTAGAATATACTTGAATTCTTTTCATGGTCAACAATTACCAACAACACATCACAATGAGTAACTTAATTTTGGTAAAATGTTAATTTGCTACAAGTAATATTTAAAAATTTAACAATACCTTCATTAAAATAAGGACACGTGGATAGCATTGTTATTGCCTTGAATTGTTCATAAAAAAATAACGATTGCAAAGTTTTTTCTTTTTTAAAATAAATATTTTAGGCCAAAATAAAAAATACCTTTGTTTCCCCTAACGCGACCGACCCAATTAAATCCCGCCAACTGAAAAGTTTTTTTTAATAAGAAGATTATTCAAATATTTTTTTTTTAATGTTTATCAACTTTTATAAAGTACAATTTCATGAAAACCCATTCTTATCAGAAATTCAGAATGTATTTTCAAAGCTGCTGTCAGAAAAAAAAATTATTTACCTACCTACCTACCCAACTTCAAATTTTAGGGTCGGGTTAGGGGAAACAAAGATATTTTTAATGATGGCCTTATCTATGACTATGGACTGATACATTAATTATAATATTTTGTGTGCATAAAATGTAACGAATGTTCACATCAAAGAAGCTTTTCGAATAATTAAAGTTGTTTCAAAACAAATAAACATTCAAATCAACACTATGCATCTATTGTTTTTAACAGGACGTTTCTTTTAAGCAATCCCACAATTTACCTCCTCCCCTAAAACTGCGAAACTTCAGAAAAAAAATCAGTATTTCAGTATGAGTTATTATGGTTCTTGTAAGATAGTTAAAACTTCGATTAAAAGTAATACAGGGCTTTATTGTTAATTAAAAATCACAAGA